TTTTATGCTTATGGCTGGGAATTCTGATTCAGTTTAGGGAATCAGTTCGTTCAAATGAGTCATATAAAAGAACCGGTTCAAAAAATGAAATCCTGAGATGTTCAAAAGTCAGTGTGAAAACAAAACACGCACGCACCCCTGAGGAGGATTCTTGTCCAGCCAGCCCACTTTAATAACTGGGACGCTGGTGGAGTCGAGGTCTTCCCGAGGCGGCGGAGCACTAACGTGGCCTGTGTTTGGCAGGTAGATGCTGTTCTGAGAGCCGGAGATCGAACCCAAATCTTCCATCCATGAACCCCGTCTGAGAGAGAGAAGAGAGAGATCACCAAAAGAGAGAAGTGTTACATTATCACATTGCAACATGACATGAATTTCTCCTATTACCAAATCAGCGACAACTAACTAAACTGAACTGTACAATAACAATTCAGGAACGTACACATTTGCGTAATCGCTGACAGCAGAAAAATAAAAGTGACTCACTTCTCGGACACTGACTCGTAACAGTTGGTTTCATCGTCTAGTAGCTCGTCGTCGCTGCACAGGCTGCTGTAACGGGGTTTCGTTACCTTGGGAACCATCAAGGACATCTATTGGAGGAAGCAGCTGTCAATCATACAGGGTCTGTCGCTATTGGACAGTTCTGATGTGCTGGGAATAAAACAGCGTGTGAAAGGCTCTTGACGCACCTTGCTGGCCATATCTATGAGTTTAGGGTCTCTGCTGGGCTCGCGCTCGTCATATTCATCTGAACTTTCATCCGAATCCAACTCTACAGGGAGTCATGATGGACAGAATGAGGGAAGACAGTGAGAGATACAGAGAAACAGATACATTTCAGTGCAACATTTCTGTATCGCACAATGCAATGCGAGAGACTCGACCTTCCAAATGCTGTATGATGGATGAACTGGAAGAAAAAGCAGATTTTTAACATCTTATTGACTCGTTATTCGATAAGACTGTCAAAAATAAGACACTTTTACACTAAATTGTGTTAAAAATGCAAAATTGCATATTAGGACCAAATGTAGCTTTATTTTCCTAAAAAAGAGTCACAGTCTGATTGGAGCTTGCAATTCTGACCAGACTGTTTCTTCAAAGCTGTTTCTTCTATTGCATGTTTTAGCAATATGAATCTAGCTATTAGAAAAAATAAATAATAAAAATGATAATGATAATGAAACTATAGTAAGTGCCGATAGTAAGTGTCATACAGTAAAAGAAGGCACTGAGAAACAGGTTGGGTTGGTGTGAGACAGCACTGATAAACAGGATGTTTGCGCTCCGAACGTGATCGTCTCATCTGGAAACTCTAAACGCCGCTAAAGGCAGAACAAACTGAGGACAAAAACTCTAAACTACTGAACACAGAAACCAAGCAGAGCAGAGCAACACACACACACACATACAGAAAACACACTAAATGCGCACACGCACTAGTCTAGACTTCACGTAATGTATGCATGCGCTCTGTATGTTTGTTTTGAATGGTTTTTGCAAAATACTCGATAATGTCAAATCGCACATCGTTAAAACAACAATTACGATATTATCGCAGACGATATATATCGCACACCCCTAACTCTCACACTCACTCACACACACTCTCACACACACACACACACACTCACACACACAGACTCTCACACTCACTCACACACACACACACACACACAGACATCTGGAAACTCTAAACGCCGCTAAAGGCAGAACAAACTCTGAGGACAAAAACTCTAAACTACTGAACACAGAAACCAAGCAGAGCAGAGCAACACACACACACATACACACACACACACGCTCACTCACACACGCTCTCACACACACACACACACACACACA